TTCTGTGTTTTATAAATATATATAAAACACAGAATACACAAAAATGCCTAAATATTAATTACGTATAATGCTAAAAGTAGGTCTAATAAACTTTCAAAAACAATATAATAACCGAGCCGAAAAAAAGAATACAGTATTACTATAAATTCGTTTGCGTAAAGTGTAAAAAAAATGCAATATGATGTGTAAATAAAGTCGTGCTTAAATACTATTATAAATTATATAGTAGAGAAAAACAAATTGCTTTATAACGTAAAAATTCGAAGCCGAGCACGTTCTTGTTTCCGGCTTTGCTGTAGAAATAAAATTTGTTTTAAATAGATAAACGGTAACAATAAAAATACAAGTTAATTACTTTAAAGAAATAAAAATAATCGCATAAGTAAATGTTTATTTATTACGAAACAATAGATTAATTCGACAATAGTTTCTTCTCTTCTCATCCAAAACCGTATTCAATAAAATTTATTTAATTTAGCATAAGAATTTATAATGGAATCGATTCAAATACATTCTGTGGATGGAAGAGAAATATCTGTTTCACGATCAACGTTTCCTCAATACAGCCGAAGAATAAAATCCATGTTGGAGCCATTTTCGAACAACGTATCTGTCACCTTTTACTTACCATATACATACGAAAATCTGCAGATACTCGACGAGTAAGTTTTATGTTTGATCATTGAATTTTACAATATATATATATTATTTTAATACACATCATAATCACAGGTAGACTTTCCTTTTTGAAATCATTTACACTATTATCAGTATAGACGAATCCCAAAATAGTAACAACAAGTGAATTCTTCTACAATGTATCATGTTTAAACTTTACTGTTTAATCGCTTGCAGTGAAACTTTATTATAGAAATACAATAATATTAAATATATCTTAAAAAATCTCATTTTGATCCTATCGTAATTTTCCTTATTTCAATATATACAGATTTATTAAAAAAAAATTACCAAAATTTCATAATTTGAAACGTGCAATGAACATTTATCAAATTAGCAAAAGATTGAACATTGTTGCTTTAAACATTTACTGTGGACGTTATATAATTCATCCTTTTCGGACGCCACATGTTTGTGAAATTTATGTATTTGCTTGCCAAAACAATGACTATGACTTACAATTTTATTGTTGGAAAAAATTTAGCAATGATTGGAACACAGTATTTTATCAAAATAAAAACGCTTTGGACTGTGATGAAATTGTGATTCGTAGACTCGTTTCTCGCCCTATATATAAAAAATTGGTGGAGCGGATTATTTTTAAAATTGTTTATGAATGGGCAAGACGTAGAGTTAACTCGAATACATCCCTGCGGCAAGTCATGGCTCCGTTCTTATCCAACATCAGATTTCTTACAATGGATGATGAATTTTTAAAGGGCTATGTATATCCGAAACAATTGTTAACAGAAGAAGAAGTAAATGCCATTCAACACTACAAAGTAACATCTGACAAATCAATAATTCCAGATAGCATTTCTAGAAGTCATCTTTCGAGAAACCATGAAAAACATNTATAATTCATCCTTTTCAGACGCTACATGTTTGTGAAATTTAGTTATATACTAATTAATTTTTGTACTTCAGAATGTATCAAACGCATACTACTCAGATTTATTAAAAGAAAATCACCAAAATTTCATAATTTGAAACGTGCAATGAACATTTATCAAATTAGCAAAAGATTGAACATTGTTGCTTTAAACATTTACTGTGGACGTTATATAATTCATCCTTTTCAGACGCTACATGTTTGTGAAATTTATGTATTTGCTTGCCAAAACAATGACTATGACTTACAATTTTATTGTTGGAAAAAATTTAGCAATGATTGGAACACAGTATTTTATCAAAATAAAAACGCTTTGGACTGTGATGAAATTGTGATTCGTAGACTCGTTTCTCGCCCTATATATAAAAAATTGGTGGAGCGGATTATCTTTAAAATTGTTTACGAATGGGCAAGACGTAGAGTTAACTCGAATACATCCCTGCGGCAAGTCATGGATCCGTTCTTATCCAACATCAGATTTCTTACAATGAATGATGAATTTTTAAAGGGCTATGTATATCCGAAACAATTGTTAACAGAAGAAGAAGTAAATGCCATTCAACACTACAAAGTAACATCTGACAAATCAATAATTCCAGATAGCATTTCTAGAAGTCATCTTTCGAGAAACCATGAAAAACATAGCTTTTGGTATATATATTGTAATCGAAGTTCTTTCATTATCGATCAAGAAATGAATATGGAAAACAAGTTCCAGTTCATTTCGGAGATATATGTTATAGAAGATTGTTTCCTCACTGGAATTGAACTCCCAATTTTTTTATAACAGCAAAGAAACAATCAGAATAAGAATAAAGAATTGTATTTACTCTGATGGTTTGAAAATCGAAAGACAATATGAAATTAATTGTGATGAAAACGGATATGCTAAATTGAATCGAGTCATTTATATTCGGAAATCTTCTATAGTTCGTGTGATAGCTGAAATTAATGATGACGACATCGTACGAGGTAACATACGAATTGGTAATTTAGCAAATCGTTATATACTATATGAAGGAATGGCCATAAGTTCTGAAGAAACTTTTCCATTGAGTAAAGATATAGAATATATATATTGTAATGTAAAACTTTATTTTTGAAGTAGTTTAAAAGTAGTCCCGTAGGAAATTTTTTCAAAATCTCTGTAATTTCTTTAATTCTTTAGTTTTTATCATGAGCAAAATTTGTAAAATAACATGATAATATATGTTTCTTTATATAAGAAATAAAATTATTTGATGGAATCCACTTTATTCTATTGCACTATTGTATATAGTGTAATATTTTTTTGGTATTGTTTCGTAAGTGAAAGCGAAAACATTCACTCGTTAATAAAGGAAGACGTGCAAATTTAAACGTAAATGTCGTTAATATTGCACGTAAGTAAGCAGATGTTAATATGATGAAAAATTTCTTGTGTTTACGCAAAATTTGATCTAATTCAAATGTTGCAAATAGTGATGTAGATTTGCTATCAGACCATTTGTCCTATGCTTCTAAATTCTTCATGCACCGTTGTTATTCACAATGATAATGGAACCGTGCAACGACTATTATTGTTTCTCAATAATGAAGGGCTTAATTAATCATGTATTAAAAAAGTAAAGTTCCAACAAACGCACAAACAAGGTGATATAGCAAAGTAAGTCATTTTTCTCTGCTCTCCGCTGCTGACCACTCATAACTCCATTGGTCGCTAGTGTTGCGCGATACAACGGCGAAAATTGATACTGGCGTAAAGGTGTGGTCGATATAGATTAAAACAATCGACACTACTGATATATTTATTCGATTTTTACCATTCAACGTTCGGTAATTGAGAGCATACTATTGAAATTCAAAATTGAATTTAATTGTTTCATTATTTTTAATTTTATGTTGTGATTCATTATGAAATACAGTCGACCCCATATAACGTGGGTTCATATAATGCGGATTCGTATATCGCGGCGAAAAAATTGCGATCGTATTCGTATAAAGACGCTAAAAGGAACTCGTAAAATGCGGTAAAACGTCATCGCAGACTTGTGTCGCGACAGGATTGGTCGAATCTAGACCAATAGCGGATATTGCACAAACCGTTGAGTTTAAACGAGCAGTGGACCTACTAAAAACCATTTATTATTCAACGGCCATAAAAATTATTTTTATTAATGATGTGTGCAAAGTTCAACGAATTTTTCGTAGAAAAATAACTTATCAGAGAACGCAGCCGCCGTTTGGTGCGCTGCTCCGCGACGAAAACAAGCTTAAGCAATGGCGTCATCGAACAGTGCACACTCGGTAAGTAATCCTACAATTTTTTGTTTATAGCATAGTTTATATGGATTATCCCAAAATAATTATACATGTTTTGGAAATGTTGAGTGAAATTAGTCTAGAATCGATTAATTTTATGGAAGAACACCTTTCAAACTGCCGTAGTCCGTAAACTGCACACGTACCGGGCTGTAATTGGCTCATGTATTTGAGAACTCCTACAACGCGAAATTCTTATAAAGCGGAACGTATCTACCGCGTTATAGGGGGTCGACTGTATTTTTTATTAAATAAGAACATTTATACGAAGATTAGCTGTATAAAACACAGTAGATTATGCGATTAGAGATATTATAACAATTATTTTATTCTGAAACAAAGCTTGTTATGCATAGGAAATAAACAAACGAAGAGTCCAAACAATTACAGCACACCTATCGGCAAACTCGTTTGTTACCTGAACTTTTAAAAGTGAGAACAAAAGGCATTCAGAGACCAGATAATGTATTGAATTTGACATTACTAGCTTTTAATTTATTGTATCGGAACAAAATACAGAGACAGTCTCTCCTGTTAACTTACAGTACCATCCGCAACGACAACGTTACCTAGTTTATATGAAAGCTAGAATAGAAAGCACGGAAAGGAAAAAAAGATTGTATAATCAGTTCTCATTAAAGAAAACGTAGCGAAACGTAAGTCATAATTTCCAAGTGCAAACACAGTCATTTCATACATTTTTTTTTATTCAAGCATTTTTTATTCACAGTCATTTCATACATTTTTTTTTATTCAAGCAAGCATTCGTGTTGTGTCATATTTGCCCATGGATTTTACAATATTGAAAATTTGCACTTGGAAATTATGAATTTGTACTGGGATGTCTTCTACATTCTGAGTTAGAGGAAAATGGGTTGTACGCATGTTACCGCAATTCTCGAACCGTGTTTTAAAATTGCAGTGTTATACGAAATATACCTGTACAGTAGACCCCTATAAAACGGGTTCATATAGTTCGGATTCCTATATGACGGCGAAAAATTTGCGACAGTATTCGTACAAACACGCTAAAAAAAGTAATCGCCGACTCGTGTCGCGACTTGGTCGAATCTAGACCAATAGCGGATATTGTACAAACCGTTGAGTTTAAACGAGCAGCGGACCTACTAAAAACCATTTATTATGTAACGTCCATAAAAATTATATTTATATTAATGATGTCTCCAAAGTTCAGCGAATTTTTCGCAAAAAAAATAATTTATCAGGAAGCACGACAGCGCCATTCGATGACAAGCTTCACGACGAAAACAAGCTTAAGCAATGGTGTCGTCGAACGGTGCACACTCGCTAAGTAATCCTACAATTTTTTGTTTATAGCATAGTTTATATGAATTATTCCAAAAAAAATTATACGTATTTTGGAAATGTTAAGTCGAATTAGTCTAGAATCGATTAATTTTATGGAAGAAAATCTTTCAAACAGCCGTAGTCCGTAAACTGCACACGTGCCGTGCTGTGATTGGCTCATGTATTTAAGGACTCGTAGAAAATGGATTTCATAAAAACCGGAACGTATCTACCGTGTTATAGGGGGGTCGACTGTAATTACAAATTCCTTACTATGTTTCTTACTTTCGAAAGAATTATTTATTTCCTCTACATTAGGAAATGTCGCAGGACAGAAGATCTCATCTCCTAATAAATAACAAGAACCATATCAAAAAAGACAAAATAAAATACATAAAATTAAAATCAACCGACGTAATAAAAAATGAATAAAAATTGCAGTATATATATGAATAAAATAGAATACACAAAAAATGCCAAAATATTAAATACGTATAAAACTAAAAGTAATACAAAAATTTAAAAAACAATGTAATAACCGAGCCTGGATAATGGATATTCCTATAAAATTCGTTTGCGATAAGTGTAAAACAATGAAATAAGATGTGTAAATAAACTTGTGTGTAAACACGACTTTATTTACACATCTTGTTTCATTCATATACATGTTACGCAAACCATGAGAAATTATATAGTAGACGCCGACAAGATGATTTATAACGTAAAAATTACACATGAAGTATGTCTTCTACGTTGTTAATGTTTCTGGCTATGCGGTGGAAAAGAGATCTGAGGTAAATAGATAAACGATAAATAGTAAATAAAATAAAAAAGTAAAGTTACAAGTTAGTTGAATTAAATAATTAGAATGAATTACATAAGCAAATATTTATTTATAACGAAACAATAGTCTTTATCTACAATAGTTTCTTCTCTTCTTATCCAAAAGTGTATTGAATAAAATTTCATTAATTTGGCATACGAATTTATAATGGAATCAATTAAAATACATTGTATAGATGGAAGAGAAACATCCGTTTCACGATCAATGCTTTGTAAATACAGTCCAAAAATAAATTTCATATTGAAGCCATTTTCGAACAGCGTATCTATAACCTTTTACTTGTCTTACGCATTCGAAAATGTGAAGATAATCGACGAGTAAGATTTTTCTTTTATCATTGAATTTTACAATATATATAATTTTATTTTTAATACAAATAAAAATATATAGACTTTTCTTTTTGAAATTACTTACACTGTTATCAGTGTAACAAATAGAAGTAAAACGAGTCTAAAAATAAGGATAATAAGTAGATTCTTGTACTGTCAATTATACCTAAAAATTAATATTTAATCGCTTGCAATAAAGCGTTATTATAGAAATATAATATTATTAAAGATATATTAAAATACTGTATCACATTCTGGTCTAATCTTAATTGTCATGATTTCCTAATATATAGATTTATGAAAAAACAAAAGCCATACTTTTACTCTTTGAAATCTGCAATGGACGTTTATCGAATTTGCAAAATATTGAAAATAATTAATTTAATACGTTACTGTCGAAATTATATGATTCGCCCTGTTCTCACGCTACATGTATGTGAAATTTACGAATTCGCTTGCCAAAATACGGACTATGACTTACAATTTTATTGCTGGAGGAAATTTAGCAATGATTGGTACACAGTATTTTATAGAAATAAAAACGCTTTGGACTGTGATGAAACTGTGATTCGGAGACTCGTTTCTCGCCCTATATATCAAACTTTGGAGGAACGGACTATCTTTAAGATTGTTTACGAATGGGCAAGACGTAGAGTTAACACGAGAACATCTCTGCGGCAAATTATGCTTCCATTTATTATCAACATTCGATTTCTTACAATGGATGATGAATTTTTAAAGGGCTATGTATATCCGAAACAATTCTTAACAGAAGAAGAAGTAAATGCCATACAACACTACAAAGCAACATCTGACAATTCAATGATTCCAGATAGCATTTGTAAAAGAGATATTTCGAGGAACAATGAAAAACATACTTCTTGGTTCATATATTGTAATCGAAGTTCCTTCTTTCTCGATCAAGAAATGAATATGGAAAACAAATTCCAGTTCATTTCGGAGTTATTTGTTCTAGAAGATTGTTTTCTCACTGGAATTATACTTCCTGTTTCTCATAACAGCGAAGAAAAAATCAGAATAAGAATAAAGAATTTTGTTCATGGTGATGGTTTTAAAATAAATGAACAACGTGAAGCAATTTGTCATAAAAATGGATACGTTAATTTGAATCAAGTCATTTATTTTCCGAAATATTCTACAGTTCGTGTGATATCTAAATTTAATGAAGATGACATCTTACGAAGTAACATACGAATTAGTAATTCTGCAACACGTTACATACAAAATGAAGAAATGGCCATAAGTTTCGGAAAAATTGCTCGATTGATTCAAGATATAGAATATATATATTGTAATGTAAAACTTTATTTTTAGAAAAGTTTAAAAGCAGTCCGTTAGGAAACTTTTTCGAAATTTCTATAATTTTTTTCTTA